TAAAAGGTTGAAGTAATCTCAGATCACTTCTGCCACTCCCTCCCTGTTTTTTTTACAAAGTTTTTAAAACCAATACTTCAAAAGCCAGAGGGGTCTAGGGCCTTTTGGGTCAAGCATTAGTTTAAAGTAATATAAGACCATTCTCATTTCATATGTGAATCAGCTGACAAAAACTAATGAAAAGTAGTACCATATTGTGGGCTCATCACAACGGTCTCCAGCACATCTCTCATATCTTGTAAAACAAGTTTTGCTTAATTCTCTGCTGAGGTGCAGAAGAGGCAGAGGAGGAAAGAGGGTGAGCAGAGCAGCGCAGCACAGAAGTTAGGGCTGACCAACTGAGCACAGGGACAGAGCGAGCAGAGCAGGGATTTGTTGTAGTTGGTGAGGGAGTGGTGGGGCGGGGAGGGGTTCATCGGCAGGCCAGCATTCTCCTGAATGTGGTGCTCTAGGCAACTGCCTAACTCGCCTATATGGACGCACCAGCCCTGCTTCCAAATATCTTTCCCCCCCTAGTCTACAAACCTACAGGGTCAGAGGAAGGGAACAGCCTAAAACTACGAGTAGCAAGGATCATTAATACATATGTTCAAGACACTCAACATTTCCCCATTATTCGCAAGGGAAGGGGGGGCGAGGGAAGGGGGAGTGGGGGGGGTTCATCAGCAGGCCAGCACTTTTCTGAAGGTGGCACTGTAGGCAACCGCCTAACACGCCTATATGGACACACCACCCCTGATTCCATCAGGATCTCTTGTCACACCCCATGAGTTTCCCTTGTCTGAGGAATCTACTATGTACATTGGCTGAGGCTCAGTAATTGCTTTAAAACTTATATTTGACTCTGGTGCATTTATCATCCAAAAGAATTGTGGCACACCCCCAAGTGGACAGTGCATAGTCTTGAACACCAGCAAGGGAATGAACAAGAGAGGGATGGAAGAAGGAATCAATCTAAGTGACCATCATGAACCTCACATGGAAGACTTGATTCTCACAATTGGGGCTGGAGGCTCTGCTAAGGAAGGGAGGACAGAACTTCTGCCCCAGAAGAAATTCTGAGGCCTAGCTGGTCTTTCTAACTTGTGATTATCCAAAATAGGAAAAGAAAGCAATGAACAATGATGCTTTGTAAATAGTAATTACTGAACACACCCATGCATCACAGAACTACCATACAGCCACTAGTCAGAAAAAAAGAAACAATCCTGTTCTTTTACAGATGTAAAATGGTACCCAGTTGTATCTTCACGAAAAAACTTCTCTTATATCTCTATACTTCCTTGTAGTATAAACCAAGCATTTTAAAAACTCACAGAAGGGGTGGAACAAAAGTCTACAGCAGCCTTAGGCCCCTTTCTTCTGAAGCAGTCACCTCAGATATCAAGGAACTTCAAACTTCTATGGTGAGATATCTAAGGCCAAGGTAGTATCTAAGTCTTAGCACATTCAGTGATGGACAACATTTCTCCAGATTTAACTTGCTATGGCAAATAACAGACAACCAGTTTATGAGCTCTGAAAATTCAGAGCAGAAAATTAACCAGAAGAGCAAAGAGCAAGGTGTGACTCTTTATAGCAACAGATAGCATACTTATGGGGTTGCCATAAGTCAGCTGTGACTTGATGGCAAAAAATTAAAAATCCAACAAACTACTGTGTTCTGAGCAGGCACTTGGGTGGGCTTCTGTTCTCCATTTTGAAGTCCCAGAGCTGACAATCCCAGACATTTACAAGGCATTTCCGAGAGGTAGAAGTCTGCCTTTGTGCTAACTTTTACTAACACTAGCTAAAACATCACAAAATAGTAATCACAAGCTTCACCAGCCTGGATGTTAAGAAACACACTACCCCCCCCCCAAAGTGGGTGCCCCCATCCTGCATTATTTCCAAAGGACTAAATCAAACCAGAAAATCTCTGCAGTAGAAATGAAGGTGTATGTGGGGGTCATTTTTGCAAGCCCAGCAGAACCAGAGCAAGGTACAGAGTATCCAGCAGTACCAGTGCAATCACAAAGTGCCAGCAAACCCAGTGCCATTGTGGCAAGGCCAGGTGATTTCAAGGACAGAATCACAGCCCAAAAAGGGGAGGGGGGGTTGGAAGCCCAGCAGAACCAGTGCAATGTACAGTGCTCAGCAAACCTAGTGCCACTGTGGCAATGGCATCTGATGTCAAGCACAGAATTACAGTCCAAGTAAAGGGGTGGGGTGGAAGCTCAGCAGAACCAGTACAATATACAGTGATTAGCAAACCCAGTGCCTTCTGTTCATAATATTAACAACAATTTCGAACTATACTATTCTTAGGCCCAATCTGCATCTAGTATTTGCTCCATTGTTGTACCAAACCCACACTGGAACAGAAAAAGATGCGGCTCAAAACCACATTCAAATACCCCAAGTTAATGCCGTACTGACTGCAGTCACCCCTGAATGGCCATAAAACGGCCATAAATCTATGCAGACAGCCACCATAAAACCAGAGATCAAATGAAGTGAAAGCATCATGCAGTCTGGACACTGCTATAAAATTCGACAATCAATCAAAGTGAAAGTGGCATGCAATGTAGATGGGAATTTCTGTTCCAGTGTGGGTTTGGTAAGACAGCGGAGCAAATGCTAGATGCAGATTCGGCCTTAAATATATTCTGTCACCATTTATTTAATTTTTATTTGTTATTATGGCAGTCTCCTGGTCCAAGTACATTAGGCCAAAAATATAAAAATTGAATCCCCCATTGATTTCAGTGGAATATAAATTATGCTCAAAGGTTAAAATGCTACTTTTTATTGGGCTTGGCCAGCCTTTTGTGTTCCGTAGGAAGTGTGTTACATAGAAGGGGCTAGGTAGTCTTGGTCCACAGAGTACCAATGTGTTTTAAACTTACAAAACAGAAAGGAACACTAAGGTCTCTGCAGCAAACATGGAAGATCTGATATTGGATCTTGGTGTTTCATTTAGTCCTTATGTTCTTAAACAAGAACACAAATTTAGGACTGACTGTACAGATTCCATGTGGGTTCCATTGATGAGCAGGCTTGAGTCTAGTGATCAGCTCAATTTTATTTGTGATTTCAGCAAGAGAATGCAAGACTCCAGAGCCTCAGCTCTGTTAAATAGCATGCAATTGCCACACCCAAACACACCCCACTCTCAGTGAAAGGCTATTTACATAACACTACTACTAGATTGGTTTATTCCAGAATCCTGGTCGGCTATTGTTCTTGGGCTCCAAGCTCAGCCAGTCTCTGGGGTGATTCAATCAGGAATGATTCAGTCCCAGTACATAACACATCTCATTTAAGAACTAAGGGTTAAATGATACACTACAAGATCTAGTATCAGATTTTCTGTATTTGCTTGTTGGTTAAAGGGGGGACTAACTGATAGTAGATCGATGGGGAAAGGGTTAATCCTATCTCCACAAGATAGTCTGTTTTGCCTATGGGTCCCCAATATGAGTTAAAACAAAACAAAATGATCTAGTCACGATCTAAGTTTGAATCCAGTGGCAGACCAACAAAGTTTTATTCAAGGTATAAGCTTTTGTGTGCATGTACGTTTCTTCAGATACAGTGAAACAGAATTTCCTCAGCCATTATATATAGGAAGGGGGGGTGGTTTAATTGCCAGGAAGGGCAATTAGAGTCAAGACAGAGATAGAAAGAAAATGGAAATTACCAGTCCATGCATGTAGGTAGAGCTTGAAGAAATTATGTTTCACTGTATCTGAAGAAATGCGCTTGCATACAAAACCTCATACCTTGAATAAAACTTTGTTGGTCTTAAAGGTGCCGCTGGACTGTTCTGCTGCTTCAGACCAACACAGCTACCCACCTGGATCTAGTCACAATCTAATCACAGATCTCCTGGCATGTTGGCCAGTTCAGTCGTTCTAAATGCCTTCATGGTTGGTTCTTCAGACCACCCTCCTGGTGCCCTGACATTCTTTAAAAAGCGCTAGATGGGTCCAATGCTCCCTCTAAGCTGTGTCCTGTGAGCAAAAATTCTACTTTGTGAGCTGCTGGCATTAAAGTTGTGAGCAAGCGATTTGGCTACTGTATAAATCAGTTTGCTCTGGAGTCGTCCTTCCTGAGTGAAGTAAAAAATGTGTGAGCTGAAGACTAAAAAAATGTGAGCTAGCTCACACGAACTCAGCTTAGATGGAACAGTGGATGTTGTTGTTCAGTCGCACAGTCAAGTCCGACTCTTCGCGACCCCATGGACAAGATCACGCCAGGCCCTCCCGTCTTCCGCTGTCCTCTGAAGTTTGCTCAATTTCATGTTCATGACACTGTCTAACCATCTCATCCTTTGCCGTCCCCGTCTTCTTTGACCTTCAGTCTTTCCCAGCATCAGGGTCTTCTCCAGTGAGTGGTCCCTTCTCATTTGGTGGCCAAAGTATTTGAGCTTCAGTTTCATTATCTGGCCTTCCAGGGAACAGTCAGGGTTGATTTCTTTTAGGATTGACTGATTTGATCTTCTTGCAGTCCAAGGGACTCTCAAGAGTCTTCTCCAGCACCATAGTTCAAAAGAATCTATTCTTCCGCGCCCGGCCACCATTTGGTGGATGGGTCCACCAAAAAACTTCCAGTAGACAACCGTCTACTTTCCACTTATTATTGACATGGATTGTCTGCTAATAAACGTTTTGATGGATACTAAAACTTGCATACCCGTAAACCAATGAGAGATTATCCAGCAAAGATACAGTGTTCCCTGTTTGCGCCTGTCTGCTCAGCAACAAAGTGTCTCCACACTATTACAGGGCTGAGATTGGAGGCTCCCCCCCATCTGTTAGACGAAGAGTCTGTCTATCGGTCTTTTACCGGTGGTGTTTTTGGGGGGCTTTTGCGATTTCATACAAGGATAGCAACCTCAGCACTACAGTTCCCAGGAACCCTTGCGCGCCCTTCCCTGCCTGGCTTTTATGTTCTGAATCCTGCGGTTTGTTGGTGCCAGATCCTGCCTGTCGGTGTGCAGCTTGGCTGCAGTTCAGTGGCTGAGGCGAAAGGGCTAGTGTTGTGGACGCTGAAGCCAGGGCGTGCGGCGCGAGGAAATCCCCGGCTCCGGGCCGAAGCTGTAGGAGCGCGAGGTCCAAGAGGGACGCTTCGAGGAATTCCTGCAGAGCGAATGTAGGCAGGGAGAGAGAAAGGAAGGATGGTCATTCGGCTGTTCATCGCGTCTTCCTCGTGCTCCGTAGCGGTGAGTGCAGGACCGGGGGGGGGGGGGGAGGCGGGGGAAGAAGAGGAAAGCGCGGCAACGGGCAGACACCGACGGATGGCTACAGGCGCGTGAGTGGAGGTCTCCTCCGCTGCGACACACAGAAGCTATCTTTGGCTGGACATGGACTGCAAGGATTCAAGAGGAAGGGAAGCACTGGGGAGAAGGAAGGGGGATACGGGGGGAGAATTCTGGCCCGTCAGAGGTAGGTAAATAATGAAGAACGGAGCCGGCGTGCGTCTACTGAAGGAACGAGGCTTGCGGCGAGGATTTCCCTCTGCGCGGCACTGGTCAGCAGCATTCTTGTTTCTTGTTATCGTTTCCACTCCCAGCCGGTTGGGCTGGGCTGGAGTGCGGGTTACTAATCACGGTGTTGCGGCTAACGTTATGGTGAGCGAGCGGTACCTTTGGCACGCCTGCTTTTGCCCGGAAAGGGAGAGGGGGGACATAAATGCCTCTTTTGTGACTTGCAGCTTTTAAAATGTAAAGTTCGCAAGGATATTAATGGTAGCGTTTGTGGTTTTCCCGAAGACATCTGAATGGCCAAGAAGCACAAAACAAACAAACAAACATGTAGTCGTTCACGGCGATGTTTGTTTTATCATAAAATCCGTCAAGCGTTGATCCCAAATGCTCGGGAAACCACTGGAAGTGTACATCTACAAGTTGATATTTAGACTGCCGTCGTACGAACTGGGGGTGTAAATCCCGTTCAGCTGAAACGTACTTCTGAATAAACGTGTTCAGAATCGGGAAGCATGTCAAGTCATAATATATTACATCCTTCTCGGTAAGCAGTAAACATTATAAATCCACTTTAAAAAAATCCATTGATTGCCTAGTATTCTTCCTAACTAAATTGCAGATATTGGTACTTCTCTTTACAGTTCTTTGTGGTCTTAGTCCAGGATACTTAGTCTAGGAGCACTATTTTCTCTGCAGCTTCCTTACCTTTAGGACTGGGTATTCAGATCTTTAACGGTCCAACCGTTTATTAATCTGTTGGCCGCTTGGTAGAGCCATCTCTCTGAAATGGCTATAAATTTTGGAATAAGTTTCCGTTTTGACCTTCAGGAGATTTGGGATCCTGGCTCCTTTGTACTTCTTCGGTATTTAAAGTTATCTCTAGAAAAAAGTTAGAGTCCAATGGCACCTTTAAGACCAACAAAGTTTTATTCTAGGTGTGAGCTTTCGTGTGCACGCACACTTCATCATACGATGAAATGGAATTACATATCATAGTTGTATATATAGGAGTGGTTGTTAAATTAGCATGCAAAATAGTGAGGATACTTTTCATTAACAGATCAAAAGAACGACAAGCTTAGTTCTGTTTTGGTTCAACTGGGGGGGGGGGCAACATAGGTAATAAATATGCTAGAACTGGAGATTGATGTGCCCTGATTTGTGAGAATCCCATCCTTATACCCTATCCATCTCCTTTCAAGCACGGAGATGAATTCTACAGCATCTTGGCTGTGTAGAGTGTTTTCCTTTTCCCCAAAACAAAGAACTGCATTTAAATCTACCATTCCAAATTATATTACATATTCAATTTTATTTTTAATTGCTAAGAGTAGTAATAATATTTTGCTTCAATAAAACATGGAGTTAACTGACAGAGTCCTTTTCCTGGGGTACAGTGTTATGTCAGAGATCAACAAGATATTACATTCCATTACAATCACTATTATAATATACTATCTCAAGAAAAGAAAAGAAAAACATCAAAATATAGGGGATGTATAGCCTTCTTGGTGAGAATACATACATAATCCAGCGAATGTTGGCAATTTGATCTCTCGTTCCTCTACCTCTTCGAAACCCAGCTTGTACTTCTGGCAGTTCTCTATCCACGTATCCGAGTGTTGTAACAATTTGTAATTCAGCTATTTCCCTTTCCATTCTGTTCCTGAAGTGCCTTTGCAATAAAACAGCTACTTTGAGGTCAGCCATTGAATGTCCTGGAAGGTTGAAGTGTTCCCCTACAGGTTTCTCAGTCTTGTGATTCCTGATGTCTGATTTGTGTCCCTTTATCCTCTGGTGTAGGTTTGTCCTATGTAGAGAGCCGAAGGGCAGTGCTGGCATTTAATGGCATATAGAAGATGAGCAAGTGAATGCGCCTGAGATGGTGTAGTTGATGTTGTTGGGTTCAGTGACTGTGTTGGCAGGGTGTATGTGGCAGCAAAGTTGGCATCTGGGTTTATTGCAAGCTCTGGTACTGGTGTCTGTGTTCAAATTGGATGTTGCATTATTGTGGGTGAGGAGCAATGCTCCCTCTAAGCTGTGGAGTCTTATGAGCAAAAATGCTACTTTGTGAGCTACTGACATTAAAGTTGTGAGCAAGTGATTTGGCTACTGCATAAATTAGTTTGCTTTGGAACCATCCTTCCTGAGCGAAGACAAAAAATGTGTAAGCTAGAGGCTAAAAAACTGTGAGCCAGCTCACACTAACTCATCTTAGCAGAAACACTGGTGAGAAGTTGTTTGAGATTGGGTGGTTGTCTGCACGCAAGAAAAGGTTTACCTCCCAGTATTTGTGAACTGTCCTTGTCCAGTAGAGGTTGTAAGTCATTGATGATGCGTTGAACTGTTTTGAATTGAGACCACAAGGGGTGTTCTGTTATTGTCCTTTTTGGGCTTGTCTTGTAACAGGTTTTCTCTGGGTACCATTCTGGCTTTGTTAATCTCTTTCCTTGACTTCATCAGGTGGATATTTTAGTTCCAAAAAGGTCTGTTGTAGATCCCTCAGGTGGGAATCTCTGTCTGTAGGACTGGAGCAGATGCGCTCACACAGAGAATTTGCCGTGCGGAAGGCACAAATGTCGGGCGGATTTTCGGGGCGCGATCACACCGCAACATCTGGGAAGCATAGTGCACCCGTGGCATCCCGCCAAAGATGCAGAGTTAAAAAGTACCAAGGAAAGTGCACTAGTGTCCGGATCAGGATACTGCGCTTTATTTTGCTCTGGGGCGAACAGCCACGCCTCCCCCCTGTGTTATCTGGCCCGTGTGACCGGGGCCAATGTAATGCAAATATAAGAGAGGTATGAGTGGGTGAGAGTTTAAGTTGCTCCAAGTCAGCAATAAAGATGTTAGTGTATTGTGGGGCCATGCGGGTGCCCATGACTGTACCATTGATCTGGAGGAATACTTCATTGCCAGATCTGAAGTGGTTATGGGTGAGAACAAATGTCACAGTTTGGTGGCAAAGTCAGCTGTGTTGCTGTCAGAAATTATATTCCTTATGGCTTGTAATCCATCTTGGTGTGGGATGTTGGTGTACAGAGATTCCATACCTGTGGTGGCTAAAATAGTATTATCTGGAAGGTTGTTCAAAGATTGTATTTTCCTCAGAAAGTCAGGTGTAGCGAACATAAGTAGGAGTGCTGGCGGCATAGGGTCTTAGACTAGAGTCCATATATTCAGCTATCTGTAGTTATCTGTATTTAAAGTTATCTTTTAGTTTTTCTGGCTCACGTCATTTTGCTTGTGTCTTCCCTGAGTTTGGTTTTATTGATACGAAATTGTAATTTATTATGCTTTTGTTATAGTTTCCTGAATTGAGACACATAGCATTGAAACATTGCTTATAACCACATTTAAACAAACAGTAATAATTAAAAAATCCCTGTAACATTCTCTTGGTAACATTAAATTTGCCTGCAACCTGAGATTATTACAAACGGCAATTAATTTTTCTGTGTAGGCACTTTATATGCAAATGTTGATCTAAATGTACTCTTAATAAAGGGTATTGGAGGGCTGTTCTATAATAATTATTACTTATAGAGGTAGTCAGCTTTGTACTTTGTATTTTTAAAAAAGCAATCCTATGGAATTGCATCCAAAGAATTGTGAGAGGAGTTCCATGTACCGAACTGATTTTCACTGTTTCACGTGTCATTTTCATCCATTTCCCTGACGTTACCCTAGAAAGCTGACTCAGAGCGTCACTGAACCTCTGGGAACAATGTGGGATGAGGATAT